CAAGATTCAGCCCAAAAAAGGATCAACTGCATTCTTACTTATTAGGAACTGCAACTGAAAACTGTTGATTTGAAAAATAAATTGAAAAATTGAAAACAAAAATCTTACATGGAGGGATTTTAAAATCCCAATAAAATCTTTCATACAAGAGATTTAAATCAACCTTTAAAATTATTGCAAAAAGATTTTGATTTTGATTTTTGATTTAAATCACCCTGGTTTAGGGCGTCCGACCATCTGCGTAGTTTTACAACGGACAGAATTGATATATCAAGTTTATTTCGTTCTTTAAATTCAAACAAATAAATTTTTAATATTAAATTAATATTTCTTCTCTAATAACCAATGAAAAACATTTTTAAATGTTCCATACATTTATTTCATCCTTACAATCTTTATATGGAAAGGATTGTAAGAATTACAATCTTTACAATCCTTTCCATATAAGGATTGTACGGATTACAATCCCTACAATCCTTCTCATATAAAGATTGTAAGGATTGTAAGGATTGTACAATCTTTACAATTCTTCCATATGGATTGTGAAGAATTGTACAATCTTTACAATTCTGTTGGAGTGTCTGACCCTTGGGAATGAGAGCTGCACATATGTCGTACGATGTAAAAGTATTTGTGAGGACGAAACTCAATAAATTTTCTTATACAAGACGAGGATACAAAAAAAAATAAATGAATTGTCAGCCATGGCGAGAATGAAATATGAATCGAGCAGCATTGCTTGATGATCCCGAACGAGAATTTTGCTTAGCCAAAAAAAAGAAGACATTCACAGTTGTTTCGGTTCTGTGGATAATAAACTGCTCAAATTTATATTTTTGGCTCAAGGAATTAAGATAAGATGAAATAAAATAAATTTAACAAAAGAGCTGTTATCGCGAAATAAAAATCTGCAGAAAATGTTTTTTGATATTTTTTTGACCCAATGATCGTTAAATGAATTAATAAACTCATTATTTGGACATTTTAAGAGTTTCTTATTTTTAAAAGAGTAAATTTTTTGCTTTAGTCGCATCTTGGGTGTATGTTGGAGTGCAAACTATATTTTTACCTCGTGGAATTTAGCGGCTTTTCGCTGATTTTGATTTTCGCTGATTTTTCAGTCAAGTCAACTCGACTTTTTAAAAATTCGCTGATTTTAATTTTTCGCTGATTTTTAAGTGATTTTTCGCTGATTTTAAAGTGGTTTTCGCTGATTTTTTAAATTAAAATTTCGCTGTTATTTTAATTAAAAATCGCTGATTTTTCGACAAATTTCACTGATTTTTCGTAAAAAATTCGCTGATATTTCACAAAAATTTTAATGTTTTTTCTAAATCTCTTAATGCAATCTTTTTTTGAATCAGTGAAATTGATAAAAAAAAATAAACAGTTTGATAGTATTGCGATCCTTGTCAAAAGAAAACTTAAACATTGGCTTGAACCAAGCTACAATAAAAAACTAATGGAATGCATTGGAATCAAAGTGTTCAGCAATTTAACAACTAGTTATCACATCCGCTCAGTCTAACTCACAGGAGCAAGCGCAGGAATAGAAATAAATGTACATTTAAATCAACAAAGATGATAGGAAACTTCTACATCTGTGGTGCCTTCAACACAAAACATCGAGATTGAAAATGCATCAGAGATTTAACCATCAAACCAAACGGCGAATAGCAAATTATTGAATGATAAGAATCCAGAATTAACAGCTGAGAACAAGTTTGTGAGCATCATAAGAAATCTGAAAAATCCTAAAGCTCCGGGACTAGATGAAGCCAACAACATACTCATTAAAAAGCTTCCTGAAAAAGCTTTCGAATCCTTAAAGTTCATCATCAATTCGTATCTCAAACTTAATTACTTCCTCAAAATTTGCGCGCTACTGTTCCTCGTTTTCTATTCAATCTTTTTGTAAAAGGAAAAATTATAGTCAAAACCAGCGGAATTCACGAAAGTTACATCTACTGTAAGTCCAGCTAAGCACTTGTCTAAGCAATAAACACCATCTGTATTCACTAGCTAGATGTTATTTATACACATTAAACTACAACTGTAAATTACAGCTGTAATTTGATTTTTACGTAACGACGTAAGTACATCTGTAATCTACAGCTGTAATTTTAGTACATCTGTAATTTGATGCTAAATAGTATAGGGTCAATCAGCAAAATTTTGATAAAAAATCAGTGAAATTTTGATAAAAAAATCAGCGAAATTTTAACTTTACAAAATCAGCGAAATTTTGATAAAAAAAATCAGCGAAAAATCACTCAAAAATCAGCGAAAAATAAAAACCAGCGAATTTTTAAAAAAGTCGAGTTGACTTGATTAAAAAATCAGCGAAAATCAAAATCTGCGAAAAGCCGCTAAAATATATTGAGTATATTTTTGAGTATTTTTTGAACTTACTTCCTTAACTACTTACTTCGATGACCTTACAAATCAGTTGTGATCAATGGCCTTCCTCAAATGTAGCCTAATACTGGCTGCATAGCTGTCTACCGACTTCCAATTTCCTATGCCAAATGCAATACTGTCTAACCAGTCCAGCTCTCTCTTTAGGTTGCTTAGCTTGAATTTAAGGATATCGGCTTGTTAAGCCAATGCACCATGTAGAAACTAGAGCCTCATTTGATTCCGCCCCACTATGTGACTTAGATTGACGGCTTCCACCGCGAGAAAGTAAGGTTGGCACATGGCGATGTTAAGCTAGGTCGAGCGAGTAGTTACATATATTGTGCGTTCACCGCCTTTTAGAAATCAGCAATGAAGAATACAATTAATTGACATGGCACAGGTGCCAATGACACAACTGCCACATTTGTAAAAAATGAAGTTCAGAGAACAATATCGCAACCTTGTCAAACGGGACATTTGGTGATCAGGATTGTAAGAAGAGCTGGTTGGTTTTAAGTCCACCATCCCTCAAAACTGCAATCTTCATTCTTCAAAAAAAAAAATATATAAAAACGGACAGCATGATAATGATTCCAAATTTCGATATTTAGGGCAATTAAATATTCATCCAATAAATTTAAAAACATATTTGAAGAAAAATTGATAAAATCTCTAGCCAATGCAAATTTATCACCTGATTTTGAATTAATAATAAATGAAAATCAAGCACAAACTTAACCTTTTTAATAATTTATTGAACAATCAGCTCGTATCTTATCAAACCTCCAAAAAAAAATCAGATCCCACTTCCTCCATAAATCCTCAAAAAATTCCCATCGTTTAAAAACAACTCAGCCCCTCGACACCAAAAAACATTCCATTTATATCTCATTTAACATCGAAGAGTCCACAAAAATAAAATAAATTTAATATGCTCCGAAAACATCGATAAGAATTAAAGTAAAGAAATTTATGATCATAATATAGAATGTGATGGGAGCCCCAAATGAGTAGAAATTTATGAGACTATTCTGATCATCACAAATTAACGTGATATTTTATCTCAAATGATTTTCAATTCCCAGATCCATGACTTAAGAAAATGCCCACATAATTATAATATCTCTTAAAATTCAGAAAAAAGAGTTGAAGAAGAAATGAAATCAGCGATTAACAAAACACCGATCGATGAACGAGGAACAAGAAGAAGAAGAATGTTCAGGTAATAAGCGACTCAGGCGCTTCCCAAAATAATTTACGACCGACTTTCATCGGAATATTATTAAAATTAATTTCTTCTTTTTTCAGTGCTTCTTTATCTTACTGGAAATTGAGTGTGTATGGGCTTTAAGACGCAAGTGACTGAGTGTGTTCTTATCTTTGATCTTGTTGAATTATGGACATATAATAAATGGTGAGCCACATGAGATCTCTTAGTCTCTATCTTCAGCTTGATCATCACAATAAATTAAGGCACACAACATCACATAATCATAATATTATTCTTTTTTGTTTTGATATGGGTATTAGTGGTAATAATATTGCAGGAATATTTTAGGTTCGCATATTATTGATACATAGACACAGAGTTATGGAGTCTTATGGTGGTTCATTCCAACTTGCCCTGGAAGTCTTCAATTTGACTAAATTCTCGATACGTTTTTGTAACCCCCTGCTTGCCTTGCAAAATTATATTATCTAGGACCTAGTTTTGTTCAAACTGTGTGCCGCGGAACTCTAGTGTGCCGTAGAAACTTTTTGAAACTGATACGAGCCGGATACTGTGTGCGACTTTGGTCATGGCTTACCCTTCAGGTGTGCCGTGTCAAATAAAAGTTTGGACAACACTAATCTAGATACTTCTTGTTCATTTTTTAACAGGATCTAGACCAGTGTTCCTCAAACTTATTTTTGGTTGCAGAGCATCCGTTTACATTTTTGCGCAACTCTGGCAACCACTATTTAAACATTTGAGATTTTCTAGTGGAAAAGTAAAGCTCCATGGAGTATAGTTTGAGAAACACTGATCTAGACATAATTCTGCGTGGCCATCATATCATACATAGCAAGGACGTAGCCAGGAGCTTAAAGGAGACATTAAAAAATTTTAGATAGGAGATTTTTGTGAATTCTTCATAAAAACCCTAGCAAAATGAAGAAATTTCTGATTAAAAACGAAGACAAATCCACCCCCTTGGCTACGCGCCTGATACATACAAGTCATTACCCTTTCTGAGTAGCTCAAAAATGCATTTGATATCAAAAAAGCTAATCTTTCTTAAGAAACTGATTAAAATCTTCACAAATGAAAAAAAAATGTTATTCCCCAGAATTAATAATAGAATGTGAAGTACAAAAAATTAATCTTTACACTGGAAATGAAAATCTTCAAGATAATACAATAAGTTGCCAAATTAATATCACAAAGATAATAACATTTCTATAAAGTGCACCAAATATCGATGCATTACTTCAGTTGGAAAAGATTAATTTATAAAATCAGAATGAATTTAAAATCAAGTTTATTGCTTTTTATATTTGCAGTATATTTGCATGTAAGCTACAGCGAAGGTATATTTTGCAGCTATAGCGACATTAGTATGAATGCTTACTATTGTGATCTGACAATACAAAATCCAAATGGACTTAACAATTTCACTGAAATCAGAGGAACACATTCACCAGGAAGAGAAAATGAAGACGTAACTTCAATAATTCGAACTTCATCATCAATAAGCACAAATTTTCCATCAATAATTTGCAATACATTTCCAAACGAACAAACATTAAAGGCATTGTCGATTGGCATTGAAAGAATTGATGAGGATTCTTTCAAGAATTGCAGGAATCTTGATTTTTTGGACTTGAGTGGTAACAGAATCTTTGAAATACATGAGAAGTCATTCAGTGAAAATAAGAGACTAAATTCTTTATTATTAATGGAAAACATGTTAACAACATTACCGGAAACTATATTTCTGAATCAATTTAATTTAGGCATATTAGTTATAAGCAGCAATAACTTCACAGACTTGCCTCTTAAAATTTCTGCTACTTTAAAAAATTTGGTTAGATTAGACATGGGAGATTGTCAGCTTCATCAACTTAGAGTCGAGTGGTTCAGGAATTTATTAAATTTACAAATATTACAGCTGCCATCGAATCAATTTGAAGATTTTCCACATAATGTCTTTAATCCTATTCGTGAATTGCTTGAGCTTGATTTGGATTTTAATCAGCTTAAGGTTATTCATTCCGATTGGTTTGGCATTTTACCAAATTTCCGTATCTTACATCTTCGTGCAAATCAGATTAATGCAGTTGATGAAAGATTTATAGACAACAATTATATCGTATCTTTAGGAATGCTTAATAATCTTTGTTTAAACGATATTATCACTGACTTTACATCTTCGAAATTGGAGATGAGAGCTGCGCTGCAAACATGCTTTAAAAATTTTTCAATATAATATAATTTTTTATGGTCACTGAATTGATAATAAGTTAAGAGAGTTGGAATATTAGACAATGTTAACAACAAGTTAATAATATCAAAGCTCTAAGCTTTAATAAGCCTTAAAAGGAAAATAAACAACAATTAAAGGAACAGATTAACAGCAATCGAAGATTAGCACAAGTCGATTAATCGAAAAGAAATCCGGCATGATTCTGGAATGATGCTGGCTTCAATTTTAATCCATTCCCATGCAAAAGCCACACCAGCTTGGTGCCGGATTTCAGATCGATTAACCGACTTGTGTCATTCGAATATATGTATTTAAATCATCATCTAATTATTAATCTTGTCAATTAATTTTTAAGCTAACCCTAATTAATTATAAAGAGAGTTCATACGTTTTAATCTAGTGGTTTAATTGCAAAACCTTGATAACAAATTCTAAGTAATTTAAGATAATTTATAAATAAAACGATTGTCGACTTTTCAATTTTATGGTCCATTGTCCAAATGATATCAAAACAGGAAATAAAAATTACAAAATTGATAAAGAGCGTTCAAGCCCCGAGTTGATAATACTTACTTACTTTACATTACTTTCTTGACTGGGGCGCACTTGAGTCCATTGATGCGTTCATAGATCGCCTAAAGACAGCTTTATCTTTCGAAACTTTCTGCCATTTTGGGTTATTAAGGACTGTTGATAATAAATTTTTTTCATAATAATGAGGACGTAATGTGGACTTGATTCTGGCAAAGTTTCAAAGTGATTGGACACTTCATGCCATCGGACTTCAATCACACGATGGGTGCAAAATAAAATCTTAAGGATATCATCACATTATTTACTAAATATTTCAAAACTACACCAATAGCAATAATCTCTGCTTCTATAACAGTTTAATTATTAGCTGATTATTAGCAAGATTTGATCTAGGATTGAATTTAATCATTTGTTATTTCAAATTTAAAACTAATTTAACACTAAGCAGACGTTGGTAGAGCCCTTACAGTAATAAATAAAGTTGCACATTTGATAGAGTCATAACAATGATTTGTTAAGTTGCACAATTGATACCGCAAAGATAAGAACATTTGTATAAAAGCACCAAATATCGACACATTTCTCCAGTCACAAGAAGAGAATTTGGTGATTTCAAAATGAATTCAACATCAAGTTTATTGTTATTATTAATTACAACATCTCTACATGCAAGCTTTGGCCAAAATTTATTTTGTTACTATAGAATCATTAATCCGTTTGCATATGTTTGCGATCTATTAATTCAAAATCCAAATGGATATAACAACTTCACAGAAATCAGAGGAACACATTTACCTGTAAGATGGAATGAGGACGTTACAACAATACTAAGAGCTACATCATCAATAAGTATAAATGCTCCGTCGATAATTTGTAATACTTTTATAAATGCACGAGACTTAGACTTATTTGGCATTGGTATTGAAAGAATTAACGAAGATTCATTCAGAAATTGTCGGAATCTTAGGCAATTAGAATTGGGTGGAAACAAAATTGTTGAAATAGAAGAAAGGTCATTTAGTAATAATCCATTGCTAGATAACCTGTCTTTACAAGGCAATAGATTAACAACTTTACCAGCAAATATCTTTGTAAATCAACGAAGTCTAAACTTCTTATCATTAAGCCGCAACATCATCACCGACTTACCAAAAAATATTTTTGCTCCTTTGTTAAATTTACAAGAGCTTAATCTAGATTTCAACCAATTCGAAGTAATTCATTCTCACTGGTTCGGCAAATTATCAACTCTCAATTTCGTACATTTTCGTTCTAATCAAATTATTGCTGTTGATGAAAGATTCATTGACAACACCGGAGTTTATTGGTTGGGAATGTTCCATAATATTTGCATAAATCAAATTGTTTTAGATCTTTCAGCTAAAAGACAGCAAATGAGAGCGGCACTGCAAATTTGCGTTAAAAATTATCAAGATATAAGTGGTAAGTAAGGTTAATTTATTTTGGAATGCATCATTTTCCATTATGACAATCCTTCCTGTAAATTCAATGTTGTAGTAATGAGATGACTTTGAGGTCTAGTCAGGGGTGTCCAAAAAATTTTTTGTGTTTAAAAATCAATAAAACCTTCTCTATTTGATTATCAAAAGCTAATTTTATGGTTCTTGCTTTAAAACCAATTAGCTTTTGCTATTTAATTGAGATTTAAATTTTTAAAAAATTTCAAAAAAATTGTAAATAAATTTCATTCTCAAAGGGGGTGCCCGGGTACCTTAGGACCCCCCTGGCTACACCCTTGGATCTAGTCACTTAGTTTAATAAGACACAAGTTTTGTCACACGAAGAACTAATTTTAAAATTCTCCAATTTTTCATTTCAACAATTTGTGGCGTGCATTAGGATGTACTCTAGGAAATTTGGATGAAAGAGTTTGTAAACTTGAGGATGAAAATGAACAACAGCAAATAAAAATTGACAATCTTCAGAAGGCTGTTGATGAGCTGTTAAATCGCAATTGTACATGTGCCTAAACCTTAATCATCTTCATTTAGATCTGTGAATGCAGACTTATTATTTCCTATTCACGTTTATTTGGACTTAACTTTCTAATTTGAATTCGCGAAATAAATGTTCATATTTTAAATCCACAAATTTTTATATGAATTTTATTCCAGTGGCTTAATTACAAAACCTCGATAACAAATTCTTAGTAATTTAAGCTTAATATCATTTACACAGAAAGCATTATGGACTTTTCGATTTTATTATCCATTAATATAATGTTCAATTGATATCAAAACAGCAAATAAAAGTTATGAAACTGATAAAGAGAGTTTAACCCCAGTGTTGATGATACAATGTGCTGTGAAACTTTATTAATTATGAGATTTCAAAAAGGATGGATTTTTTGTATTTTTCAAAGTCATTCAGATCAATTAACTTCTAAACCTAGTTAAGAAGACGCTAACAAGACAAAATCAGAAATAAACTTAGACCTTGTGTTCTCTGTAGTTGAGCAGATATCGCTAGAGTCATAAAAATAAGACAATAAGTTGCACAATTGATATCGCAAAGATAAGAACATTTGTATAAAAAACACTAAATATCGACATATTTCTTCAGTCAGAAGAAGTTAATTTAGTGAAATTGAAATGAATTCAAAGTCAAGTTTATTGTTTTTATTAATTGCAGTATTTCTGCATGAAAGCCACGGTCAAGATTTATTGTGTTACTTTAGAAGCACGGGTCCGTTTTCATACGTCTGTGATCTATTAATTCAAAATCCAACTGGATTTAACAATTTCACGCAAATCAGAGGAACGCATTTACCAGGAAGAGGAAATGAACACGTTACATCAGTTTTAAGAGTTTCATCATCTATAAGCACAAATATTCCATCAATTATCTGTAATTCTTTTATAAATGCACGAGACATTGATTTATTTAGCATTGGTATTGAAAGAATTAACGAAGATTCATTCAGGAATTGCACGAGTCTGACAAATTTAAACTTGGGTGGAAACAACATCGTTGAAATAGAAGAAAGGTCATTTAGTAACAATCTATTGCTAGATATCTTATCTTTACCAGGGAATAGATTAACAACTTTACCAGCAAATATTTTTGCAAATCAGCGTTTACTGCATGCATTAATATTGAGCCGCAATAGTCTCACTGAGTTACCAAATAATATTTTTGCTCCTTTAACAGATTTAATTGAGCTTAATTTAGACTTCAATCAACTTGGAGTGGTTCATTCTCACTGGTTTGGTAATCTCCCAACTCTTAGTTTCGTACATCTTCGGGAAAATCAAATTAATTCTGTCGATGAAAGATTTATTGACAACACAGGAGTTTATTGGTTGGGAATGCTAAGTAATATTTGTATAAATCAACTTGTTATGGATATTACAGCTACAAGACAGCAAATGAGAACGGCACTGCGAGTTTGTTTTGAAAATTATCAAGATACGAGTGGTGAGTAAGGTTGATTTATTTAGGAAACAGACAATGAGTAGGCTCATTGGGACCGTTACATACTGAAGTGTATGTTAATTAGGGCTACCATCTAATTTTCATGAAAATACAGGACTTTTGGTAAATTTTTTCGAAAAATACAGGACATAGAGTAAAATTCGAAAATTAACGGAAATTTTCGTGAAAAAAATACAGGACCTGGAACAAAGTTTTCAAATTTATACAGGACAGGGTTTTGAAATACAGGACTGTCCGTTGTAAAACTACGCAGATGGTCACCCTAATGTTAATGAGTACTGTACGCTACCAGTGAGTATACTCATTGTCTGTTACGAAATAGATCATTTTGAAACACAACAGGATTCCATTTCAAATGCTTAATTGTCAAGTATTGATGCATCATATTTATATTCAACTATTTGTTGTTTCTATTAGGATGTACTCCTGGAAATTTAGATGAAAGAGTTTGTAAACTTGAGAATGAAAATGCACAACAACAAATGGAGATTGACGAACTAAAGAAGGCTGTTCAAGAACTGTTAAATCGCAATTGTACATCCACTTAAATTAAAAGATTGAACACTGATCAATGTCGCCTTTTGCGACTTCAGTTATGGTTCACCCCTAAGGTGTGTCGTGGCTCAAATAGATTGGACAACACTGATTTATATACCATGTGAAATAAATTGGAACACAATAAATTTACCACTACGTTGTATCTCACAACATAGAACAAAAAAAAAGTGTTTACTACTTTTATTGATTTTTGCAATAATTACATTTTAAGTGTCCTTACGTGCCAAAGGTTATGGGTTCAGTCCCACACAAAGCCAAGTTTTAGAAGCTTTGGTTCCATTTCACCGTTCTAGTTATAAAGATCGGTTCGTATGTTGAGAGTAGTTTTCAGTTCTTTTAGCACATAACGTGTCTTTTTTGCTAGGTATACTAGGATAAACTAGTACCTGGATGATTTCGTTACAGCATCTTGCGCACACAAGTTGTGACTAGGTACAATGCAGGGTACATCACATCTTTAGAAGTACTTGTGTCTTTGCAATGTGCAGAGCTTGCAAGTGGTTCGGAATGTCTCCAGATCAAAAAGTTGGGCCTTCTCCATGCCTTACCTTTTATAATACATCCTAAATCAACATTGATAATCATAAAATTTATCTTTATTTATTTTTTTTCTCAAGGTCCTCCTCAATACCCCTCGCCTATAAGAATTGTTGTAGGCATTTTGAAAAAATCTTAAATCTACGATCCCCTCATACAAAAAAAAAAATCCATCTTCACCTCTGATTATTGCCATCAACATCGACGATCACAGACAAAAATTCTGTCGATAACATAAATTGTCCTCTCATTTCATATTCTGATCAAATCGGTGAAGATATCATTAGGAGGTATTTTTATGGCCATATTGAATTAATTGATTTAAATCTTTAAGTCTGTGACTTAAAACAGCTACGCACGAATGTTTTTGTGCTTTTTTTTTCATTCCATGGCGCTTGAACTGTTATCTTAAGTAAACAAATCAAGCTCGTCGTCGAGATTTCAACTTAATTTATTGGATGGAAAAAAATCGTCGTCTTGTTTCACTTCCTTTCACTCATTAATTGAGAATATCGTGAGGCCATTAGGTGCTTGCTCTCAAATTACAAACTTATTCGCTTTAACCAATTGACATTATCATAATTATCTTCTCTTATTTCGAGATTTTTAAAAATTGGATTTAAATGAACAGAAAAAAAGTTTTGGTCAATAAAAATAAATTTTCAAATTTGTGGTATCAATATCACATGTGCCATTTAGATATGGAATTATTTGTTTAATTTGAATGGTTAATTTTTGGGTATTTTTCATGCCTCGCTGAGATAATTGCTGGTTTGGTTCAATATATTGTGAATATTTACACAAATTGAGGTTTCAAATATTTTTAAAGATTTAATAAAAATAAATCGTCGCTTCAGACTTGAATCCAATTAATTTGCTGTCCTTTCTTTCCTAATAAGTTGTAGCTATAGATATCTGATTTTTAACAGATCTAAGCGAAGTTGACTGCTGCCCCCTCTCATTCTTCCTTAATCTTATCGCCTAAAAAAGTCATAAAACTTTACAAAAAAATCATAACCCCAAAGAAATTCTTATCTCGAGCAAAGTTTTATGACCCAAAATCACAGTTCAGTTCGCCTTAATCGGCTATAAAGCTAGTCTACTCTATTTAACTATGATAAATATGTTTTCATGAAATTATCATGACAGAAAGAAATATTAACGAAAATTTACAATTTTCCGGTTTATTTTTATTTTTTTTTGCGTAAATAAGAAAGTTATCCATTGACCCGACACCAACAAGAACTCATTTCCTTTTCGACAATCATAAAAAGTAAAAGTGGAAATGAAAATGAAATGAAGATATTGTGATTGCTGTAGGAATGGATTGATCTTCCATGCGAGCAGAAGTTTTTTTTTTATTAAGCTATAAACATGAACATGGACTTGTTGACAATATAAAGACTTGATCCTTTAGTTTCTCTAAGGAAAAGACTATAAGCTTCTATTGGATTCTTCAAATTTTTTTTTTTATTCTTGATCTCAGCAATTATAGCATCCTGATTTTCAATCCTTTTTGAATTTTGTGATTGCAAAATAAAACCTACATTGACAAAAAATGACATTCATCAAAAGTAGAATTGTCCCTTATCTGTATAGATTCCTAGACAAGAAAAATTAAGAATAAACTTAAAAACTCCCAAAATTATTATTCCCAGATTCTCTAAAAGAATTTAATTTTGAGAGGTTCAATGTGCACATTAGTGTTAATTTCATTATTGTGTAGTTTAATGACTTAATAGATAAGATATTGTTTTGGTGAATTTTTATTAAAGGTTTGATAACTTAGGTCACACACTTATTTTGTCACATTGTTTTTCAATGATGTAAAATAGCACAAAAAATACTTTTTGCCTCCCCCTTCCTCCTACCTTTTTACAAAATATGCATGAATTTTTTTTTCTTTCTTTAGAAGGTCACAATATCATAGACCTCACTTCAACTACCCCCCCCCCCCCCCCCCCCCTATTAAAAGTGAACGTAATAAATGAACGACTGCTTATATATATTTTGCTGGAATTGCTCTTTAGTTAAGCAGACTGATGATCTGAATTTTCACTAACCGATCCTGTTAAATAAGAAAAAGGATTGTTTTAATTTAAAAAAAAAATACAATTTAAGGCATATAAACAGGACATTAAAGGTTTTGGGACGTCATTTAACCAAATCATTTAGTTCAGTTAAGCGGACGTTTCAAGAACTCTTGGAAAGACGCTGTTGACAGAGACAGTATTGCAATTAATATGGGTAATTGGCAAACAGTAGCCAGCGATAGAGCAAGCTTCAGGCACCATCTAAGGGAAGCCTTTTTATCACAATTGATCTGTACGGCTAGCGAAGTAAGTAAGTATTAAGTTAAAACCCTTTAAATCCCTTCTACAGCCCTAACCAAACCTTCAAGTGCTCACCAGGATACAAAATTTCAAAATTCGCAAAACAATGTTCCAAGTTTCTTCTTAACATTTGTCTTGTTGGACTCCAATCCACAACATTGAAATCAGCACAGACATTGTTACTCATGTCCATCATCTGTACTGCCGTATTGTCAATAAATTTCTCATCAACAGCATTAATTTGGTTTGAAACAATGCTGAATGTTGTAAATTTTGGTAAAACTCCAAACCAGTGTGAATGAATAATATTGAGGTTATTTTCATCTAATCGAAGCATTTGTAGTTCAGATAAGGAGCTAAATATGTTTGCTGGAAGAGCATGAATTTTATTTCCGGATAGGTCCAAGGAAACCAAGCTGCTTAGAGAATCAAAAATACCAGAAATAGGATTTAAGAATAAATTATGATTAAGACCTAAACCTGGTAGTTCAGGTAATGCTCGAAACCATTCAGTACGAAGATTTGAAATTCTATTAAAAGCTAAATCAACATGCTTTAAATTAATCATAGGATTAAAAAAATTTGGTGGAAGATCCGCGATTTCATTCGAGTCCAAAAATAAATCTTGTAAATTTATAAATCTTTCAAATGTCACAGTCAATAAGCTTGATAGTTTATTCCTTGTTAAGCCTAGTGTCGTTAAACTGGTCAATGGATGGAAAATGTTTGTTGAAAGTGCTGCGATTCTATTATTAGTAAGCCACAAGGCCTCTAATCTGTTGAAGTTTTCAAACCATCTGCTTCTAAGGTTGACGATCAGGTTGCCTTCCAGTTGCAAAAATGTCAAACTTAATAATGGATCAAAAATATTATCAGGCAGGTCTGTAATCCTGTTGAAATCAAGCCGCAATCTCTTCAACTTTTGTTGACTCTTAAAGACATTTACAGGCAGTGTTGAAAGCTCATTGAACCAAAGTTCCAAATTTTGAAGCTCAGTGTTCTCGACGAATGAATTTTCATCAACTTCGGTGATGTTGTTGCCATAAACATTCAAATGTGTTAATGCTCTGCAACCTCTGACCGAATAATCATGAATTTTCTGAATCCTCATGCTCAATAGTTGAATTCTATTTGTATTTCTGAAGGTCTCACATATTATTGACGGAATATTGGATGAGCTCGAGAACGGTGCTTCAAAAACTGTCACTACATCATCGTTTGCCATTCCAGGAAGATGAGTGCCTACAATTCTTGCAAAGTTGTTAAGTCCATTAGGATTTGCCATTGACAAAAAGCAAGTGTAACCATTATTTGCATTATTGAAGAATTGACACGAAATTTCTTGACCATAAACCAACTTGGAGTTTAACAAGAGAATTGACAACAAAATAAGAACTTTTTGACACATTTTATGTAGCTAAATTTAACTTGCTAGCTTTGATATTACTGATCTTATTTGATTTATTTTCCATCATTTTTATACAATTTTCTTTATCATTTACTTCAATTTATACTTAGTGATTCTGTTAGCTTTATTGTTTTAAAAAATAAAATCGTTTGTGGCTGCATCAAAGGAGAAATTTAATCGTTCATAAGTAATGTTGATTAATTAGAATTTGATGTGTCAAAGTTATCAACACCTTTTTTAACAATGATTTGTTAAGGTTGCGAGTTAAAATAATCTTAAGATAAGTTTGATATCAGTTCTTCTTAAAAGTCGTTTATGTGATATGATTGATTTTTAAGAAGAAATGGAAGTTTAAGACTTCTTAACACAAGAGCTAGTATCAAGAGTAAAGAAAAAATATTTGAAAGCTTCAATAATCTGAATAGCGAAAAGCACAAGTCTGTTAATCGACTGTTAATGACTCTGTCATGGTGCTGTCTTCGATTTAAATCCAGCATCATGATAGAGTCACATAAGCTTGGTGCCGAATTTCTGATCGATTAACCGACTTGTGCCATTTGGGTAACTTATCGACTTTACATTTATTAGCTTCTACAAGGACGATCGATCAGTTCTTGCACTAGCTTCTGCAGTTCTTCAACAGCTGCTTGCAAATGTTCGATCTTTTCTTGCTGAGCTTGATTTTTGTCTTCAATTAAGCAGACTCGTTCGTCCCAATTTCCACCGACACAACCTAGAAAAAGTCATTAATGTCAGGTAAATTAATGAACGTCATTTAAACCAGCGATGACTAACCCATGCACCACAGGCCACTAGTGTGACTCGAGAAATTTATAAAATTCCACGTACCGTTTGCCGTGTTCGGTTTTGGTCATGGCTTATCATGAAGGTGTGTCGTGGCACAAAAAAGGTTGGACACCACTGATTTAAATGATCTTTTACTCAACCCATCAAGTACTCACCAGGATTCAAATTTTCATAATTTTCGAAGCATTTTTGCAAACCATTTCTTATTAATTGCCTAGAATCTGAATAATCAAAAACTCCAAAGTTTGCACATATGTTATTCATCATATCAATTCCAGATATCCTAGAATTATCAATTAATTTTTCGTCAAATGCATCAATTTGATTGTTTGAAGCGGTAAAGTATGCAAAATTTGGTAAAACTCCAAACGAATCAGAATGAATGATTTTAAGGTTATTTGCATTCAATCTAATCACCTCGATGTTGATCAATGAGCTGAAAATGTTGCTCGGAAGATCTTCAATATCATTCACTTCAAGGGTCAAAAACTCCAAATTTTGGAGCGGTGTGAAAATTTCAGCAGATAGTTCCGATATTTCATTTTCATATAAACCCAAATATTCTAAATTGGACAAAGGTTTGAACCATTCAGCACGAAGATTTGATAGTTTATTGGTTCCCAAGTCTAGTTCCTTTAAATTGGTCATAGAGTTGAAGAAATTTAATGGCAGATCTTCAAGTTCATTTATATCCAGCCACAGATCCTCTAAATTCATAAACTGTTCAAACATCTCGGTCGTCAGGTTTGATAGCATATTAAAGCTTAAACCTAGTGACTTTAAATTAATTAATGGATGAAACACATTTGTAGAAAGTTCTTCTATCCGATTGTAAAACAGCCACAAAGTTTCTAGTCTCTCAAAGTTTTCAAACCATTTAATTTTAAGGTCCTTGATCAGATTACTTTCCATCCCCCAAAATGTCAGATTCCTTAAAGGAACGAATATGTTATCAGGCAGATCTGTGATTCTATTGAAATCAAGCCGTAATCTAATCAACTTTTGTTGATTCCTGAAGACATTTTCAGGTAGTGTTGGAAGCTCATTAAACCAAAGTTCCAAAAATTGAAGTTCAGTATTTTCGATGAATGCATTTTCATCAACTTCTGTGATGTTGTTGTGGTTAACGTGGATGTGTGTCAGATGCTTGCAGCTCTTATAGGAATAGTCGTGAATTCTCTTAACCCCAAGTCTTGTTAATGTACTGCTTGTTGTATTTGGGAAGATCTCGCAAATGATTGATGGAATGTTTGGTGAATTCGATCCAGAATTCATAGAACTTACAGTAATAGATGCTACATCCTCGTTTGTCATATTAGCCATGTGAGTGCCATTGATATGAGTGAAGTTGTTCAACCCATCAGGATTTATTATTGTTAATTGACAAGTGTAGCCACTGGAATGACTTATCAAGTAATCGCACCAAAGAGTTTGACCGAAGATTAGCTGGCAATTCAACAGAAGTATTGACAACAAAACTATAATTTTCGGAGCCATTTTATAATTTTTTAATATCCCAAATGATGCAATCTAAACTTTATTCGGTAGCTTTTATATCACTGAATTGATTTGCTTTATTTTGTTGGACTTTTATACAATTTTCTTTATCATTATTTTTATTTTATACATTTGTCATCATTAGAAGCTGTTTTTTGCACCTTATTACATTTAAAATGGAATCACTTGTTGCCATATCCAAAAAGAAATTTAATCCTATTTAATTATTATTTATTTAATGTGCTTAAGTTATCAAAACGACAATCAGTAGTGATTATTTTACTCACTTCCTAAAATAAGCTTTAGATAAGGTTTACTGATTCACAAATTTATTTTAGCAGATATAGTATTGAGTGAGTCTGGTTTTATGGCATCACAATAATACACAAAAGATATAAAAATATAAAATAACATCCAGCTAGCCTGATTCATTTTCTGCTGCAAGGACAGTTCATCAAGTCTTCAACTAACTTCTGCAATTCTTTAACATCTTCTTGTAAGTTTTTAATCATCGCATGCTGATGCTGGACTTCGTCTTCAATTGTACAGACTCTTTCGTCTAAATTCCCATCGATACATCCTTATTAATTAGAAAGAGTAATATTATTGGTCAGTCACTAGTGATGTCTGACATTTTAAGCAGTGCTACTGTGCAACTATCTTAAATGGCATACTAGTATGCCTTCAAAGGTGAATTATATTCAAAAATTTTAATTAACACTTATTTTATGAAGTCCTATTAAAGGCAGGCGCGTAGCCAGGAAGGTCTTGTCTACCTCTTAAGCGTTTTAGGCCGTGCTCTTGCTGCGGTTCAAAACGTTTAAGGGGGGATAAGGCCCTCCTGGCTATGCGCCTGATTAGGGGTGTTGACAGGAATTTGAAGGTTTAAGAGAGGGAGGGCGGATTTTTTATGAAAACCCTAGCATGTTAAGAAATATCTGTTGACGACAATTGTCACTCAAATCCCTTCCTCAAGCTAAGTGCCTTAGCTTCCAAAACGCACCTAATACTCACCAGGATTAGAATCTTCAAAATTTGCAAAGCACTTTTGTAAGGCATTCCTCATCGGTTGCCTTAATACAGACTCATCAAAAATAGCAAAGTCAGCACATATGTTGCCTGTCATATCTAAGAGCTGCAAACCAGTGTTGTCAATAAATCTCTCATCAAAAGCATCGATTTGATTTTGTGCAGCAGTAAGTGCCCAAAAATTTTCCGAAACTCCAAACCAATTAGAGTTTATGACTCTTAGATTATTTGCATCCAATGTAATTCCTCCTAATTTTGTCATTGAGTTAAAAATGTTACTTGGAAGATCTTCAATTTTATTTTGAAATAAAGACAAAATCTCTAAATTTTTGAGAGGTGTGAAGACGTCAGCAGTTAATTCCTTAATTTCATTGTTTGATAATCCTAAATACTGCAAATTAGACATTGATTTGAACCATTCTGGGCGAAGATTTGAAAATTTATTAATAGCTAGTTCTAGACCTTGCAAGCTGGTCATAGAGTTGAAAAAATTAATGGGCAAATCCTCAAGTTCATTTTCATGCAGCCACAATTCTTCTAAATTCACAAACTGTTCAAACATCTCCGTCGTCAGGTTTGATAACTTGTTCATACTCAAACCCAACCAAACCAAATTAGATAATGGTAAAAAAGCATTTTCTGGAATTTCTTCGATCCTGTTATAGGAAAGAATTAAAAAGCTAAGATTATTAAAGTTTTCAAACCACTTGATGTTGAGGTCCTTGATCAGGTTCCCTTCCAAACCCAAATATGACAAATTTTTTAAAGGCGCGAAAATATTTTCTGGCAAGTCAACAATGTTTGTGTGTTCTAGCCGAAGTCTAATAAGGTTATGTTGACTTGTGAAGACATTTTCAGGTAATGTTGTCAATTCGTTGATCCGAAGTTCCAGAAACTCAAGTTCAGTATTTTCGATAAATGCATTTTCATCAACTTCTGTGATGTTGTTGCCATTTACGTTTATAAATGTTAATTTTTTGCAGCTTTTAAAGGAATAATCATGAATCTTCTCAACTCCAATGAATGAAAAATCAATCAAGGCTATATTCATAAAAGTATCACATATAATTGATGGGATGTTTGATGAAATCGATTCAAAGGAGTTCCTGTCTACTCTAATTACATCCTCATTGGTCATTCCAGGTAAATGAGTGCCGCTAATTTGAGTAAAATTGTTGTAACCATTTGGATTTACTATTGTCAATTGGCACACGTAGTTCCTAGCTGAACCAGTGAAGACACACCTGAGTTCTTGACTGTAGATCGACAGACAATTCAACAACAGAATTGTCACCAAAAGTATTAATTGATTAACCATTTTATGTGCAGTTTTAAATCAATTTCGTAGCTTTTAAATCACTGAATAGATTTGATTTATTCTGCTGTACTTTTATACAGGTTTTCTTTATCAATTGACTTTATTTTGTAGATTGTGTTCATTTGAAGGGGAATTTTTAACCTTTAAATATAACTTGTTTCCGTTGAAACCATTCATTTATGACGTTCATTACAAGTTATATTCTCAAACCCAGCTAATATAACTAGTTTAAAATAAAATTAAATTAATAATCAACTACAATTCCCCTTCATAAAGCATAACGTAATTTGCTGGATGTATGTGACGACCCCTTTAGACCCTCCTAAACGTGACTTCACAAATGAATGACTCCTCATCAAATAAGAAATTTAATCTTATTTAAGAAGTGTTGATTAATTTGAGCATGCTTTATTTAAGCCACCAAAACAATAATCAGAAATAATTGTTGATAACTTGCGATATGAAGTTAAGCTGATAATTTTTCGTGATTAATTAGCAATCTAATTTTAACGGGTTTTCGTGAATGTGAATTTGTTAAAGAAGATAAAGATGGAGTTATCATTTTATCATTAAGTAAAACAGTAAAACAAATCAATGCAGACGAAGTTGGGAAAATGAAATGGAGCTGGATTAGCCATATATTAAGAAAAGACCATACAAACATCGCGAGGCAAGCGATCTTCTGGAATGTCCAAAGAAATAGGACTAGGGCCGAACAACAGAACAAGAAGCTGCAGGAAATGGTAGCTTTGGCCCAGAATCGAGTGCGATTCAAATGCTTTGTGGACGCCCTACGCTTCATAGTGGAGCAATAGGAACCCATCATCAAAACAGTGAGCTTCGGCAGGTCTCTCGGTATGTACCTATATTTCCCCCTATCCTAGGTACACCCTAGTGAATACGTTATTGTAAAACTAAGATAAAAGCTGAGGGTGGTGTACACCAAGAAACCCGCCTTTGGTAAATATGAAAGAGCAGTATGTGTATAATGATGATTTTAAACAAGTTTCTTAATCCAACGTTGACTAAATCCTCAGATTAAATATAAATTTTCGAGGCACAAGATCTTGAACAGAATCTTTGTTGATCCATCGGTCACTTTAAGAATTGATTAAAGAAAACTCTCAAAAAAATCCATAAAAATATTCAAACCCAAACTCGACCAAATTGCATGCACAGAAGTCACAAAGAAAAACTTTATTGTCATTGACTATTTTCGACTATCATCAAGAAGTGACCATAAAAGAAAGTCATTTACTTTCCATTTGTATAGTTTTTTTTTCTATCGTTTTCTGTTGGAGAATTGTGACATTTATGAAGCTCATACTTGCCATTTTATAGCTGAACTCACAATCTAATTCATACAATGTCTTCTTACATCCCACAAAATCTCCAACTCATCCTTCTATGCAGTATCTATATGTATAAGAAATATAATCAAATTGATGTCGAAAGGAAATGATCTCATAAAATTTGATGGTGCTGTCATCATGTAATCATGCGGAAAAATTGACTACAAATAAAAAAGGAGTAATTTTTAGTTTATTGTAAGATGAAGGAAACTCTTAAAGTGTGTGTACGGTTAGGGGTTGCTGATGATGGTATGGGATTGGCACATTACAAAATACTGTAAAGAGATTACGAGAAGGAAAGAATAAAAAAAGGAGATTGTTGATGGTGGAAAATTTTGTTGGATGATTAAATGACGTTCACAGCTATCGATATGTAGCTTTTAGGTGACTTTTTTGGTGTTGATTATTTTTCACTTCTAGAGGTGAATAGATTGATTCAAAGTGATTTTTAGAATTCTAGGAATGAGTCGTCGCTTTAATCATTGAGTCTGCAAAAAAGTCGACGCTTTAAACATTGATTTTGTGACTAAGTCGTCGCTTTTAACATAGAGTTTATGACTAAGTCGTCGCTTAAAAAATTGAGCTTGTCACTAAAGCGTCGCTTTAAACATTGAATTTTGATTAATTCGTCGCTTTGAACTTAGTTTACTTAGAAAGTTCTTATTTTCACTCTATCAATAAACCAAAATCCAACAACCATCCATGCATAATGCCCATGAACTCATATAATCTCTTTTAACATTTTTTTAACCCTTCTTTTGGGACATTGAAAATGATTCAGATTTAAATTCCTTCCTTTTTCAACCCTATCAACTTCTCTTTATACATTCTTTTCACTCTTCTTTAGACATCTTAACCAGCAATTTTCTGCAAACATGAAACCATAGTCATGATATGAAATCTGCTGACTATGCTAAGGTATGTGTGCAGGGAGGCACAAAAATGCTATTTTTTGGTTATTTAATGGCATTAAGAATATTTTTAACTCATAAGCATGGCTGAACGCACAATTGTGACTGTATTGAGTGAAATAAATTATAAAACGCTTGAGATAATTTTCTTTTTTAGAAGAAGCAGCAGCCATAATGCTCGTTATAATTTTACTTGGATGTAATAAAGAGGAAGTTGTAAAATTTTTGGGTTTAGTAGGCAATAGAGCGCACTTTTGGTAGTTCTGTTGGCAAAATTGTCATCTTTTCTATCATAATTCAAGACACTCTCGTAAAAAAAATGAACAAACCTACAAAAGACACCCCAACTACTCAGCAAACCACCTCATAAACTTCAGCACATATCTCAACCAACTTACTTTCGCACAAAGTCGTTAAGATTAGAGCAATGAGCACTTTCCATAGAGTCATTTATGAAATATATAATGTTTATAAGGTGTGTAAACGATGACAACGATATGTGTCGTATATACGTATAATGCTTTACATCCATTAAGATTTTTACTTTCAATGTGGAAGGAGGTTGAGTAAAAAATGACATCCGAAATGTGATAATGACTACGCTCGTGGATGTTCTTTAACAGTCTTCTTTCCTTTCTCTTTTTTTTTTTGTCGTTTTATGAAAATTTATTTTGATGGGATTTTATGGTTATGTGTTGGGTGGATGGATGTTGATGTGATGAAGTTGGCTGTGGATGTTTGGGGATTTTGAGACTTTATTGGCGAGTAGAGCTTGGCAAAATAAGACTCACTAGAGTAGAGCTGGGCAAAATAAGACTCACTAGAGTAGAGCTGGGCAAAATAAGATTCACTAGAGTAGAGCTGGGCAAAATAAGACTCACTAGAGTAAAGCTGGGCAAAAAAGACTCACTAGAGTAGAGCTGGGCACAAATAAGACGCACTAGAGTAGAGCTGGGCACAAATAAGACTCACTTGAGTAGAGCTGGGCACAAATAAGACTCACTAGAGTAGAGCTGGACAAAATAAGTTTCACTAGAGTGGAGCTGGGCAAAATAAGACGCACTAGAGTGGATCTGGGCACAAATAAGACTCACTAGAGTAGAGCTGGGCACAATTAAACTCACTAGAGTAGAGCGGGGCACAAACAAGACTCACTAGAGTAGAGCTGGGCACAAATAAGACTCTTTAGCGTAGAGCCAGGAAAAAGTTAATTTCTTCAGTAATTTTATATACTCTGGGTCCTCTGGGAAACAACATTGAGTCTGAAAACCAATAAGAACATGTCAAAAATTCAAAAAAAAAATCAATTAAAGCCACAATGACAGAAAATAATACAAAAAAAACTTCAAAATTTCCAACATGTCAAGAAATTGTCATAAACAAATTAGAACTCACTTCAATGTTGCTGCAAATCTAGAAAAATAAGGATAAGATGACATGGATGATGAAGACAAATATGCTCGTCATTCTCATATTTCACCGCATTATTATAATATTTTTTTCTGTCATATTTCATCGCATCGAGATGTTGAAAAAAGAAAGAAATATGAAAAATAAAGCTAAATTCATAAAATATTTTTGAATGTGGCAGATGAGAAACGAAGCGAGACTTGTCACATGGAATTTCAACAACGAAATTTTCATAATCGTACGAATGAAATATGACAGCAAAATCACATTACATCAGCGAGACATCGAGATATTTGATTTTTATTAGCTTTCAATTATGCAAAGTTGAAATTTTATACTTTTTTTTCTATGCTGTCATTTTATAACATTTATTAAAATGGAATGAGATGGATGATTATGCTTGTTTATTTTGCTTTGTGTCTTCTCTTCACATTTACGAGTAGACAAACAGTTTTAACAGAAATTCTAACAAAATAAACTGAAGGAACCATGTCATCTTGTGTTATTTCTGGCGCTCGTTAGAAATTCATTTTTTTGTTTGCTTTCTTATTTTTTTTAGAGGGAGCTCAAACAATTTTCGAGCATTTTTTAAGATTTAACTGTTGACATAAGAACGACTTCTTGACCAACTTAGAATGTGGAATTATTTCGAGATATAATTTTCTAGCTTTGTTAAAGAATCTCTTTGTAAAGAAGTATTTGACATCCTTCTTTAGGTTTGTTGATTTTTGTGGAATAATATTCTTGATTTTATCTTAGCTTTAATAAGGGGAAAACAGCTTGATGGTAAAAAATGTGTCTTAGAAAAAATCTTACTTTGTCTTGATATAAAATTGCTGAAAATTGTAAGAGCTATCAATTTTTTATCCTATAATATTGATCTCTTCTTGGCTGGACTGAAATAAAATCTGGAATATTGAGTCATATAAAGTGAGTTAAACCAAATGCAGAAATAAAACGTCGTTGGCAGAGTTGACTCCAAAAAAATTATAAAAATTGGACAGAAAGCGAGTTCAAATCCAATCACAAAAAATACAGAAAATATAAATAAATCACAGCTTCATAATTCATACCCCCCCCCCCCTTCCCCCAAACTCCATCTTTAGTATCGTCCTTAACATACTCGATAACTCTCAACATGGAGAACTCTGTTTTGTTTATTTTAAAAAATTTGTAAAGGTTCTAAAATCAATATTTGTAAAATGCACTCTTAATAATATTTGACTGGCAGGATCATCTCAAAAAAATCATAAAATTAAAATTTTTATGGAAAAATAAATATATTCTTCAAATAACAAATTTCAGCATGTAGGTGGTCTTCATAAAC